TTATTTGAGGTGATCAGTCCCTCAGCCTGGAGTAGAGTTCAGTCTGGTCTGGAACGATATCGTAACATTTTTAACTAGGATTTGCCTTGCATGGGCCAGTAGGTTTGCTGCAGTGTTCCTTAATTCTTATGTTTCTGTGACTGGCCCATCTGAGCGACTGGTTAAAAATCTTCTCTGTGGGTCTCACAGTGCATCTGCTCCTCTCAGTACCCAGGGAGAAATGTTGTCTGGTCACATTGCTCTTGTTGTGTCCACCTACACGCTGTCTTGTGGCGTGTAGATTTTTACTGGTTCCTGCTGGTCTGTCTTGCCTATCTGGAGTCGATTTCCGGGGTCAATGCCTCGCGTGGCTCGGTCCCAGACCTGATTTTCGTGAAGTCCACAGCACGTGGTCGAGGGGAGGGGTGGTTTTAACGTGTGGTCAACGGGCGTGGTTAAAGGGCACGAGGTGATCGTGTTGTTAAGGCGTGTGAGATGACAACACGGGGTTGGGGGCGCATGTGCAGTGACCCCAACACGCGGTCAGGGGCACGTGTTGACCCAGCATGAGGTGGCCAAATGTTCCTCCAATGCTTCTTTCTACACAATTTTCACGTCTAACACTCATGGAGGGAGAAGGGACTGATAGAGAGCGAAGAGGGCTGATGTGATGGAATATGACATTGAAACTGTTTTTGTTCCATCAATGGAACAATTATGTAAGAGGGGAGTGGGGGGGGGGACTGATGTAGACAGTTTTGTTAAAAAGTAGCCCCATGCATCCATCCATCAATCTGCATCAGTCACACTCCTCCATCAATCAGACTTCTTCCGTCAGTCCTCTCCATCCATCCTAAATTTGCTACTTGCTGGGTGATACACATGAAAGTTAGGTAACAAGGCCTCGGTGTTCACTACTTGTGTTACTGCCTCACACTACTGGTGCTACTGCCTCACACTACTGGTGTTACTGCCTCACACTACTGGTGTTACTGCCTCACACTACTGGTGTTACTGTCTCACACTACTGGTGTTACTGCCTCACACTACTGGTGTTACTGCCTCACACTACTGGTGTTACTGCCTCACACTACTGTGCTACTGTCCTCACACTACTGGTGTTACTGCCTCACACTACTGGTGTTACTGCCTCACACTACTGTGTGTTACTGCCTCACACTACTGGTGTTACTGCCTCACACTACTGGTGTTACTGCCTCACACTACTGGTGTTACTGCCTCACACTACTGGTGTTACTGCCTCACACTACTGGTGTTACTGCCTCACACTACTGGTGTTACTGCCTCACACTACTGGTGCTACTGCCTCACACTACTGGTGTTACTGCCTCACACTACTGGTGTTACTGCCTCACACTACTGGTGCTACTGCCTCACACTACTGGTGTTACTGCCTCACACTACTGGTGTTACTGCCTCACACTACTGGTGTTACTGCCTCACACTACTGGTGTTACTGCCTCACACTACTGGTGTTACTGCCTCACACTACTGGTGTTACTGCCTCACACTACTGGTGTTACTGCCTCACACTACTGGTGTTACTGCCTCACACTACTGGTGCTACTGCCTCACACTACTGGTGTTACTGCCTCACACTACTGGTGCTACTGCCTCACACTACTGGTGTTACTGCCTCACACTACTGGTGTTACTGCCTCACACTACTGGTGTTACTGCCTCACACTACTGGTGCTACTGCCTCACACTACTGGTGTTACTGCCTCACACTACTGGTGCTACTGCCCTCACACTACTGGTGTTACTGCCTCACACTACTGGTGCTACTGCCTCACACTACTGGTGTTACTGCCTCACACTACTGGTGCTACTGCCTAACACTACTGGTGTTACTGCCTCACACTACTGGTGCTACTGCCTCACACTACTGGTGTTACTGCCTCACACTACTGGTGCTACTGCCTCACACTACTGGTGTTACTAATGCCTCACACTACTGGTGTTACTGCCTCACACTACTGGTGCTACTGCCTCACACTACTGGTGCTACTGCCTCACACTACTGGTGTTACTGCCTCACACTACTGGTGCTACTGCCTCACACTACTGGTGTTACTGCCTCACACTACTGGTGCTACTGCCTCACACTACTGGTGTTACTGCCTCACACTACTGGTGCTACTGCCTCACACTACTGGTGTTACTGCCTCACACTACTGGTGCTACTGCCTCACACTACTGGTGCTACTGCCTCACACTACTGGTGTTACTGCCTCACACTACTGGTGCTACTGCCTCACACTACTGGTGCTACTGCCTCACACTACTGGTGCTACTGCCTCACACTACTGGTGTTACTGCCTCAACACTACTGGTGTTACTGCCTCACACTACTGGTGCTACTGCCTCACACTACTGGTGCTACTGCCTCACACTACTGGTGTTACTGCCTCACACTACTGGTGTTACTGTCTCACACTACTGGTGTTACTGCCTCACACTACTGGTGCTGCTGCCTCACATTACTGGTGTTACTACCTCACACTGCTGGTGTTGCTGCCTCACACTACTGGTGCTACTGTCTCACACTACTGGTGTTACTGCCTCACACTACTGGTGTTACTGTCTCACACTACTGGTGTTACTGCCTCACACTACTGCTGCTGTTGCCTCATTACTGGTGTTACTGCCTCACACTGCTGGTGTTACTGCCTCACACTACTGGTGTTACTGCCTCACATTGCTGGAGTTACTGTCTCACACTGCTGGAGTTACTGCCTCACACTACTGGTGCTGCTGCCCCACATTACTGGTGTTACTGCCTCACACTGCTGGTGTTGCTGCCTCACACTACTGGTGCTACTGCCTCACACTACTGGTGCTGCTGCCTCACATTACTTGTGTTACTGCCTCACACTGCTGGTGTTACTGCCTCACACTGTTGGTGTTACTGCCTCACACTGTTGGTGTTACTGCCTCACACTGTTGGTGTTACTGCCTCACACTGCTGGTGTTACTGCCTCACACTGCTGGTGTTACTGCCTCACACTGCATGAGCATAGTTATGATTTACGTCGCTTGTTCCTCTATGTTGGGGCTGTCAAGATATTCCTGTTTATCTTTCGTACTGTTTGTCCTTTCTCTGCCTGTGTCGCTTCCTTCTTGTATACCTGTCTGTGTCGCTGTCTCTGTCTTTCTCTATATGCGTCTGTCTGTCTAGTAACGGTCAATCAAGTTAGTTCATAAAGGAAGTAGTTATAATAATAACCATAATTTTTAAATTGGTGGAGGGGTAGGCCAGTGGAAGGTCTCGGCCAGATAACCAAAAGCTCCAACGGTGGGTCATATGACTAAGACCCGCATCAGGAAACACCTGTCCTTTTTCCTGACGAACCTTACCCAAGTCAGTTTAAGGGAAGATGTCAGCAGCTGTCATTCTGGACTCACACAAATATATCTCTGAGGTCAACAGTCTTCATCAGTACTTAGTATGACTAGAGTATTATGTAGTGTGTAAATCTTATCATTTATTATGACGGCGTTATGCCAGCCAGTGGCATTACCAGTCCAGTACAGAGAATGAATGGAGAAAGAAGTGGGTTGAGATCAATTCCTTGGTCTTGCTAAATTTCGTCTTTACGTTTCCCGCTGTTTATTCCATGTACTGAATTGATAAAGCCACGGGCGAAACATCGCCACAGTAAAGATACCCAAGTGTTGCACATGTTTGTTATTCATATATGTGTCTGTTTTGTACACCATTACTATAATGAGTTAGTTGAACTTAGCGGTGGCGAGGCGAACAACACAAGTGAGAACCGTGAACAGAAACTGGGCAAACCCAAGCAGTTATATATGTAATAATAATAATAATAATAATAATAATAATAATAATAATAATAATAATAATAATAATATTATTTATATTAAAATAAAAATACGAGCCTGGCCCATGGCCGGGCTCCGAGAGTAGTAAGACTCTCGAAACTCATCATAGATATATGAGAGGTAATAATAATAATACTAATATAATAATAATAATGTTTCTCAGCAGAGATAGACAGTTTTTGATCTCCCATCTACTCGCAGCTTGGCCTTCCTCTGACCGCCAGGTTTTTGCGTCGAGGCTCATTGTACAGGTTGCGACGAAAGCGCTGCGCGTTGCGGTAGTCGCAGTAACGCTCACACCGATCTGCTGCACGCTAGTAAATTACTCTCACTTCCTGCCTGGCCAGCCATGCGTGCCCACTGCAGAAAACCTCCGTAAACGGATAAAATATACACTGTGGTGTTCCTTTGTAGCTTAATGAAAGTTTTTAATAACACAATTAGGATTGTGTAGCAACACTGTGGGAACACCCAGTGTATGATGATACTCAGTTCTGTATAGTGGTTGTATTGTGAATGTACACCTAGTATGTGTGTACACTACACTAGTGTAGTGTACACACATACTATACACTGTAGTGTACACACTATACTATACACTGTCATATTTTATGTGATGGTTATAGTGTACAACACCCCTAGTGTGTATTAATGTTGGTAGAATTAACGGGGGATTTGATGAACTAGAATGAGGCACAACTCGTTCTCACCGAACCAGACCTCAGACGCCGACGGTGCCTAGAAGCCTCACTAATCGCCGTCACCGACACTATAGAACCCAACACTGGAAACTACAAAATTTCAAAAACATTGGCATACATGATGCTTAAGCACCACCAACCCAACAACACAGGAGTCACATGATTTCATCGTCTACCCGTCCTCATCATAGGTAGAGGTTTTGATAAGGACCTGCCTCGCATGGGCCAGTAGGCCTTCCACAGTGTTCCTCCATTCTTATGTTCTTATGACATTCCTCAGGTCACGTGCGTCACACCTCACTCTCCGCCTATATATATAATGTCTTTCTACCTCTGTATGTTAGAAGGTCCCAGGACCGAAACGTTTTCTAATAAATATGTCATAGTGTTTGCTTACGTGTCTTTCTAAACCAACTTGTCGGTATTTGTTACCAAGGTTTATACCACGAGGTGGATGTAGAATACACGTGGTGGTGACAGAGCTGCTCATCCTTGGGAATGTTCACACGACAGCCAGATGACGTGGTGGTCACCCGTGGTCTCATGGTCACTCATGGTCACTAGTGGTGCTGCTGGACACAGGTGAGACCTCAGGCTACGCAGGTTGCCGCTGTCCTTTAAATTATTGCAAATCAGTGCTCAATACACAAGAAAAACACTAAATTTCTTTAGTGTCTTAATTTCTGGACCTGCAGACATGTGCTGTACCTGTAGACGTGTATATCTCTGCTGTACCGGCAGACGTATGTACCTCTGCTGTACCTGCAGACGTGCACATGTGCGGTGTCTGCGTAGCATCAGGGAAGGGGAGCAGAGACTACACCGTGAGAACAGCGTGGGGAAGATGGTAGGCATGCTGGCTGCATAACTCATCTCCCTTGGTGGCTTACTGTGTTTCTACTCAGACGGTTTAGTTCTGCGTTAAGAGATTCGTATCTCTCGTTAATAGTATTAATACAGAACTTGTATGGTAGTCAAGACATTGGTGGTATGGTAATCCCCCCCCCCCCCACCCCACTCGCCCTCCCTGCTATCATTGAAGCCAAGAATTGTCAGTATATTGTCAGCAGAATGTGTGATGCTTGAAGAGATTTGTAAGTGAATGTATCCGTATACTAGCCATACAGACTGAACCTCCGGGATTCAAAATATCTATTTCCTTTGAAGATTTAATTGTTTATTGTGTATTTATTCTTTGTAAGTGGGGAAAATAAGGGTATTAAAAAATTGGCAAGATAATAATTAAAAGTTTTAAGGGAGTATATTGGTTAGTCTAGTTTGTGTATTTTGAGTAAAACCACATATTCTCTCTCTCTCTCTCTCTCTCTCTCTCTCTCTCTCTCTCTCTCTCTCTCTCTCTCTCTCTCTCTCTCTCACAAAAAAAAAGCTAGGTGTCTTTCGACAAGAACCTTTGATAACTAGTAACTAACACACACTACCTACATCATCGTATATTCGGTATATATAATATAATATATTATATATATATAATATATATATATATATATATATATATATATATATATATATATATATATATATATATATATATCAAAGAAACTTAAAGCTTAATGGAGAGGACGTGGAACCTTAATAACGCACGCCAAGTTAATATAATTTAAAATATTAACTCCACATTGGAGGTTATTGTCTTCGGGGTTTTTACAGCGTGATTTCACTTAATATACCTCGTGGTGGAGGAAAAGCAGTGTACCTCGCGGGGCTCATCATTCCTATTCTTAAAACTGTGTATGGAATAAGGTTTTATCTCATCATCCAGATTATACCACTTGTTAATAACCCACAGACTGAATAAGTATTGTATTGAAATTACTATACTCACCTAGTTATATTTGCAGGGGTTGATTCATAGCTCCTGGTCCATCTTCATCTCATCGATCGGCAGACAGCTATGAGAGAGAGAAACCCGGGAATAACCAGGACTGGTTAAGCCAACGGATACACCACTTCTTGACCATACAGTCCCAGCAAGGGTACTGGTGGCTTGGAGGTCCTGGGAGGAACCAAAGAAGACCAGGGTGAGGAGGTGGAGGAGGGAGGGGGACTAAGAGTGCAATTTGTATTAAAATCATCTCCTGCCATATGTCGGGAACGTTAGCGAGAAGTGGAAGGATTACAGGCAACGAGGGTTGAGGAGAGGCCTGGCCAGGTAGATATCTCCAGGTAAGTCGAGGCTAGAAGGGTGATTGGAGTGGGTCTGGCCAGGGAGGTGATCTTTTCCCTGCTTGGAGGCTGGTAGCAGCAATGCAAGTGTTTTTGTTCATCTCCCTCCGGGTGATGCTGCTACATTCTCAGTGATGCTCGCCGGTTCCACCAGTTTTCCTCTATAAGAACTATACCCTCTTCTGTGGAGGCAAGATGGTATGTGAAGTTGTATTCAAGCTGTGGAAGAGACAGATGTTGATTTCCCAACAATCCAGTTCGAGCGATGGTAGTGGTTTTGTTAGTTGTGGGAGCTGTGTTTGTGTCGCTCTTATTTGTGGGAGCTCTGTTTGTGTCCCTGTTAGTTGTGGGAGCTGTGTTTGTGTCGCTCTTATTTGTGGGAGCTCTGTTTGTGTCCCTGTTAGTTGTGGGAGCTGTTTACTTCCTTCTTGTTAGTAGCGAAAACTTTGTATCCTTGTTAGTTGTGTGAGCTGTGTTTGCCTCATTGTTGTTAGTCGTAAGAGTTGTGCCCATGTTAGTATTGATGGTTGCTTGTCCTTGTTAGTAAGAACTGTTTGCGACCTTGTTGGTGATTTGGTTCTCAGTTAGGTGACCTTGTTAGTGGTGTGGTTCTCAGTTAGGTGACCTTGTTAGTGGTGTGGTTCTCAGTTAGGTGACCTTGTTAGTGGTGTGGTTCTCAGTTAGGTGACCTTGTTAGTGGTGTGGTTCTCAGTTAGGTGACCTTGTTAGTGGTGTGGTTCTCAGTTAGGTGACCTTGTTAGTGGTGTGGTTCTCAGTTAGGTGACCTTGTTAGTGGTGTGGTTCTCAGTTAGGTGACCTTGTTAGTGGTGTGGTTCTCAGTTAGGTGTTACTATGAAAGAACTTGTATCTCACTCTGATAATGAAATATTTGCAAAGACATTTTGTGGACTGACTGATCACTTAAAGTTAGTTACTTTCTATTTATTTAATAAATCGGTTGGTTAATTGCTCTTATGATGCAGTTGTATATGTGTACCCACGGGAGAGAGAGAGAGAGAGAGAGAGAGAGAGAGAGAGAGAGAGAGAAAGTGAGCAAGCAAGCAGTCCGGTGAGAGTCGTGCATGGGTTGCGTAGACGAATGCAAGAGAGTGGATTTCTATAGTGTGGTGTGGTCAACATTGCAACAGAGGTGGGGAAGGTTCTCTCTCACAGACCTGGCTTACTGACTCACCCTGTAGCCTGCTGACACCGCTGCTTAAACAGTCTGATGGGGTTTTTTCTTCTTGGTATTCCAGTGAGCGATAAGGTTCCTTATCAAAGTAGCATAGTGCTGCGCATGTTTACTGTTACATCTTGGTATTAGGTATCGCATGTGTACTAATTACATCTCGGTATTAGGTACCATCTTTGAGCTTAACTTACCCTGTACTAATATTTAGAGATGACCTTTTGTCTCTTAACATTGAAGAACAATAATAATAATAATAATAGTCATAGGTACAAATAATGTAGTGACATTAAATATTATATAAATGCTGCCGCCGCTGTTGCTGCTGTTACTGCTGTTGCTGATGCTGCTGTTGCTAATGCTGCTGTTGTTGCTGATGCTGCTGTTGCTAATGCTGCTGCTGTTGCTACTGCTTCTGCTGTTGCTACTGCTGTGGCTGATGATGTTGCTACTGCTGTGGCTGATGATGTTGCTACTGTTGCTGTTACTACTGCTACTGCTGTTGCTACTGCTGTTGCTTTAAATAATCACCTTCGCCCTTATTTTTCTTTTTTTACTCTTGCATTCCATACATCAGGAAGATCCAAGGTTACTGGTACCACCACCACTGTGACAACTTGCCCACCTTCATCCACCACCACCACCATCACAACCACCACACCATAACGGCCAAGTCCATCACCATTACCAACCACCACTACAACTATTACCACCACCACAGTACAGGCAAGATCCTCCCTCCTCACTGTCCACAAACACCATCTTTTTCTGCATCTGAAAGACTACCTTTTTGTGGCCAGACTGGTAATGGCGATTCATTGCTTGGGATAATTCACCGGTGGCCAGGGGATTCCAACATGGCTTGCTGATCAAGCTTCCATCACTGCTGATGGACCACTCTGCCAACACAACTAATGGACAAGGTTTCCAACACAACTAATGGACCAGGCTGCCAACACTACTGAACCAGGCTGCCAACACAACTAATAGACCAGGCTTCCAACAAAACTACTGGACCAGGCTTCCATAATCGCTGGAAAGGCTAATTATCACAAAGTAGTATATTTATGCAGAGCTCCTGAGCAACTCATTGATAAATGTCCATTTCTAGGATATGTGTTTGTAATATTAATCAGTTGAAACGAGTACAGGTGAGTCGATGGCTTTGGTAATGGTAGTTATGTGGTGATGGTTTGATGGTGATGGGCAAATTGAGTTTTATTAGTCAGAAACATACATTGTTTCTTCGCCAGCTATACATGTAGTCAACTAACCTTAATACAGTACTCATTTTCTTTCTAGTAAAAGCAGGAAAATCACCAATTTCCAAACATCATAATAACTAACCATCATATACACACCATCACTGAACGAGCACTATCACTACCATCATCACTATATAAGCACCACCATCACTGTAACGACCACCACCATCACTATAATAAGCACCACCACTATCACTACCACCATCACTATAATAAGCAACCACACTATCACTACCACCATCACTATAATAACACCACCACTATCACTACCACCATATAACAATAATAAGCACCACCACTATCACTACCACCATCAACAGTAATAAGCATCACCACTAATCACTACCACCATCACAATAAAAACACCACCACTATCACTACCACCATCACTATAATAAGCACCACCACTATACTACCATCACTATAATAAGCACCACCACTATCACTACCACCATCACAATAATAAGCCTACCACCATCACTATAATAAGCACCACCACTATCACTACCACCATCACTATAATAAGCACCACCACTATCACTAACCACCATCACAATAATAAGCAACCAACCACCATCACTATAATAAGCACCACCACTCAAATCACTAACCACTATCACTATAATAAGCACCACCACTATCACTACCACCATCACTATAATAAGCACCACCACTATCACTACCATCACATAATAAAGCACCACCACTAATCACTACCACCATCACAATAATAAGCACTACCAACCATCACTATAATAAGCACCCACCACTAGTCACTACCACCATCACAAAATAAGCACCACCACGTCACTACCACCATCACAATAATAAGCACCACCACTGTCACTACCACCATCACAATAATAAGCACCACCACTATCACTACCACCATCACTATAATAAGCACCACCACTATCACTACCACCATCACAATAATAAGCACCACCACTATCACTACCACATCACTAAAATAAGCACCCACCACTATCACACTCACCATCATAATAATAAGCACCACCACTATCACTATCACCATCACTATAATAAGCACCACCACTATCACTACCACCATCACTATAATAAGCACCACCACTATCCACTACACCATCACAATAATAAGCACCACCACTATCACTACCACCATCACAATAATAAGCACCACCACTGTCACTACCACCATCACTATAATAAGCACCACCACTATCACTACCACCATCACAATAATAAGCACCACCACTATCTACACATCACATAATAACCCCACCATATCACACCACATCACATAAAAGCACCACCACTGTCACTACCACCATCACAATAATAAGCACCACCACTATCACTACCACCATCACAATAATAAGCACCACCACTATCACTACCACCATCACAATAATAAGCACCACCACTATCACTACCACCATCACAATAATAAGCACCACCACTATCACTACCACTATCACAATAATAAGCACCACCACTGTCACTACCACCATCACAATAATAAGCACCACCACTATCACTACCACCATCACAATAATAAGCACCACCACTATCACTACCACCATCACTATAATAAGCACCACCACTATCACTACCACCATCACAATAATAAGCACCACCACTATCACTACCACCATCACAATAATAAGCACCACCACTATCACTACCACCATCACAATAATAAGCACCACCATCACATAATAAGCACCACCACTATCACTACCACCATCACTATAATAAGCACCACCACTATCACTACCAATCACTATAATAAGCACCACCACTATCACTACCACCATCACAATAATAAGCACCACCACATCACTACCACCATCACAATAATAAGCACCACCACTATCACTACCACCATCACTATAATAAGCACCACCACTATCACTACCATCACTATAATAAGCACCACCACTATCACTACCACCATCACAATAATAAGCACCACCACTATCACTACCACCATCACAATAATAAGCACCACCACCATCACAATAATAAGCACCACCACTATCACTACCACCATCACAATAATAAGCACCACCACTATCACTACCACCATCACAATAATAAGCACCACCACTATCACTACCACCATCACAATAATAAGCACCACCAACTATCACTACCACCATCACAATAATAAGCACCACCACTATCACTACCACTATCACAATAATAAGCACCACCACTGTCACTACCACCATCACAATAATAAGCACCACCACTATCACTACCACCATCACAATAATAAGCACCACCACTATCACTACCACCATCACAATAATAAGCACCACCACTATCACTACCACCATCACTATAATAAGCACCACCACTATCACTACCACCATCACAATAATAAGCACCACCACTATCACTACCACCATCACAATAATAAGCACCACCACTATCACTACCAGCAGCAGCAGGTTTGCAGAAAGTGCTGCAGCTGTGATCTGATGTCTGCTTGGTCACTCTTCCTTGCTACTTTATTG